TGAATGAGCTGCCACTTCCCCAGGGCACTTGGGTGAGGGCTGGGCCCCGACAGTGCCAGAGCCTGAGCTTTCCCAATGCTGGATGTGTACCCAGTACCTGTGGTGCAGGGCAGTGTTCCTTGGAGGAAGGCCAGGTGGCCCTTTTGGTTAAACATTCAAGATGACCATGTTGACAGTAAAGTTAAAAACCATGTTAGGTGTGTTGGGTGCCAGGGGAATGAGGCTTGGAAAGTCACCACTGGCAATAGTAATAGAAGATGGTCCGCTTGCAGTGGGCAGTCAAGAGCTATGGCCTGGTCCCTGTGAGAGCAAACATCTTCACCAAGCGCCCTCTACGCCCTCACAACCAAAGAATGGTATTAGAAAATGACAGTGCACGAAAAGGTTACCTAGGAGCCCCGGGAGATGCAGAAAAGGGAGCCGGGGGTGAGCGGAGGGTGTCTTACACCTGGGTCCTGAAGGAGCTAGGACTGCACTTTACACTCGCTCACCAGGCAGTGACTGGGGGATGGGGAAGAGAAAGCACCCCAATGGGGTATGGTAACATTGCAGTCCTCTTTTCTCCATTTCTCCATCCTGTCAGGAGTTTGGACATACACGCACAACCTGCATGTTTTTCAAGCTGCTGGGACCTGGATTTGAACCACGATCGGCCATGGAGGATCCGCTCCCTATGCACAGGGCTAAACTGCTGTACTACGGGGCCGGTCCAGTGGTCTGTGATTTGAACTGACCCCTCTAGGTGGACACCTGTGCATCAGGCTGTTCTCCTGGCTTTTCCAGGCAGCTCTGAGAGGGGCTGGTGGGTGTTCCAAGGCTGCCTTAAGATGGTAAACAAGGTAATTCACAACCATGCCCCTTTGAGGCCCCCGACCCCTGAGGAGACCCACAGGCTATTTCTGGAGCTTCCTGCCCCAGAGTGACTCGAGCCAGAACTCTGACCTTGAAAGGAAAAATTACCCGACTGGTCTCCAAGAACAAAAAATATTAGTTTTCTAAAAACAGATTGATTTGGAAGTTATATAAAATGTTTTTCATTCCAAATCTCCAAATGGTAATAGCTATTTTGCTTGTACTAAATACTAACAGATATTTATGATTCGTGAGGATTGAATTAAATAACAGTAATATATTTAAAATTTTGTTTTAAATTTTGCCAGAAGGCTCATGGGCTTTCCAGAGAGATAGAAAAGGAGGAGGCATTTTAAACTTTCCCCACTAATTATTATACAAAGTCCAGTAAAAGGTCCCCTTTCCTCCACTCCTTTATACCAACTCTACCATGGTGTGAACAGTAACCCCTAATAAAATAAATAACCTTTTCCTCAATCCGGGAGAGGATGTCCGACTCCAAACCATGACATTTTGGCATTTTGGACCACAACTAACATGAAGAATCACATTTTAGGGAACCAGCAGTTAGCGTAATGGCTATGTCGCTGGACTCCCACGTAGTCGACCGCGGTTCGCGTCCTGGACCCGGTGGCTTAAAACTCATGCTGGGCGTGTGTGCGTGCGTGCCCAAGATCCCGAGAAGAGAATGGAGGAGAAGGGATTGTGGTGTGACCATCCCCCCTGGGGGGTGATTTCTTGCTTTCTGTCTCTATGTCTCTCTCTGTCTGTCTGGCGAGCGCATGCCCTATAGTGAAAACCTCTCCAAAAAAAAAAAAAAGAATCACATTTTACAGCATGCCCCTGTACCCACATATACACATATGCAGAGATAATAGCAAAGATTTTTTTAATATAAATTTACTTTAGAATTATTTTATTTTATTTTATTATATTTTAAAGATTATTTAATTTTACTTATTATTATTATTATTATTATTTTAATTTGCTATAGGTCACATGAGTTCACCAGAGAGAGAAAGAGATAGAAGAGAGAAAATGAGAAAGCAAGAAAGCAAGCTGCCAGGTCCAGCACTTGAACCACAGTAAGCCATGTGGGAGCACAGTGCCTCAACCACCATATCACCTGCTGGTCCCATTATTATTCTTTTTTTAATTTGCTATAGGGTACATGCACTCACCAGAGAGAGAGAGAGAAAGTGAGAAAGCAAGCCGCCAGGTCTGGGACTTGAACCACAGTTAGTCATGTGTGAGTCCATGCCACCTGCTGGCCCCTGATATCAAAGTACTTTAACACAAAACTGGACAAATGCAAAAGATATGCAGTGCAGAAACCTTCCACAGTGTTTTTATCAGTAAACTAATTTGGAAAAAAGGTAGTTCAAAACAATTAATTCTCATGGGGACCAGCAGGTGGCGTGGTGGTTAAGGCACTGGACACTCCCACATGGCCAACCAGGGTTCAAGTCCTGAGTCTGGTGGCTTGCTTTCTCACTTCCTCTCTCTCTCATTCTCACCCTCTGTCTCTCTCTGCTCAAACTAAAAAATGAACGAATGAATAAAATAAATAATTATTTAAAAAAATTAATTCTCATAGTCAACGACAGATTGTGAAGGCCATAAGATGAAATGTGAAAACGGGACCAGCAGTTGGCGTAATGGCTACGGTGCTGGACTCCCATGCAGTTGACTGCAGTTCAAGTCCCGGATCTGGTGGCTTAAACTCATGCCAGGCACGTGTGCGTGCGTGCCCAAGATCCCAAGAGAATGGAGAAGGGATTGCGGTGTGGTTATCCCCCTGGGGGGTGATTTCTTGCTTTCTGTCTCTCCATCTCTCTCTGTCTTTCTGGCGAGCACACATGCCCTATAGTAAAAAAAAAAACTCTCAAAAAAAAAAGGAAAAAGATGAAATATGAAAACAGAAAAGGAAGTAACATTTAAGCACCTACTATGTGCAACACAGTGTTAAGAATTGTTTCAAAAATAATGATTAACAAGAACTTAGTCTTTCCTTTAGGATTATAGCCACATAGGATGGCTGTAGAGGTCATTTTTTTCAGGGCCCCTAAAACACATTTCAGTGTCTCTGCTGGATCAATGGGAAAATTCTTAAGTCTACAAACAGCTGTTTTAGTCTCTCTGTACTCAACAGGCAGCCCAGTGACAGATACAGAATATGCACATATTAAATTCATTTATATAATCAAGTACCCAAGCTAGTACCTATCAAATATGGTTTTCAATAAAAGCATGTTATTAAGTAATTTTTTAAAAAATTAACAACAGGAGGCCAGCAGGTGGCATGGTGGTTAAGGGCGCTGGACTCCCACATGGCCAATGGACAGAGAATCACAGAGAGAGAGGGCAAGTGAGAAATCACCCCCAGGGGATGGCCATGCCACAGTCCTTTCTCCATTCTCATCTCAGGATGTTGGACACACACACACACACACACACACACACACACACACACACATCTGGCATGTTTTTCAAGACACTGCGACAGAGACAACCATGTGGGAGCCCAACACCTTACCCACAATGCTATCTGCTGGCCCATCTGTCCCATTTCTTACAGGGAATGTTGCGGAGGCGGGGGAACCAGCAGGTAGTGTGGTGGTTAAGGGCACTAGACTCCCACATGGCTGACTTTGGTTTGAGTCCCAGACCTGGCAGCTTGCTTTCTCTCTCTCGCTCTCTCTCTCTCACTCTTACCTTCTCTGGTCAAATTAAAAACTAAGTAAATAAAGTTAAATAAAATAATTCTTTTAAAAAAAGAAATGTTGGGGGCACTGGCCATATGCAATAGATGGTCCACCGAGCTTACGTGAGGGGAAGAGTGCATGCCTATGCTTGGGAACTAAGACAGTCCGGCTGGTGGTGGAAATGGAACACAACGCTGTACGACAGACCCATGTGGGAAGGTCCTCTGTTTGCTGTGGAGACCTCCCTGCGTAGGCCAGATATGCACAAGTCCATGATCCCGGGCTGGCTGAGGCTGGGGGTAGACTACAGTGTCAAAACCCTGGGGAGGATGCCTCCCTCTTCTCTCTCTGTTTCTCTCTCTCATAAAATAAATAAACAAACTCAGGACCAGCAGAAGGCATAATGGTTACATTGCTGGACTCCCACATAGTCGACTGCAGTTCAAGTCCCAGACCTGGCGGCTTCAAACTCATGCCCAGTGCATGTGTGTGCATGTGTGCCCAAGATCCTATGAGGAGAATGGAGGAGAAGGAATTGCACTGTGGCCATCCCCCCCCAACGGTGGGGGTGATATCTTGCTTTCTGTCTCTCCCTGTCTTTCCAGCAAACATACACACTCTACAGCAAAAATCTCTCTCTTTTTTTTTTAAGAATTATTTTTTATTAAGTTTTATTTATTTACTTATTTTAATTTGATCAGAGGGGGACAGAGTGGGGGGCGGGGAGTGAGAAAGCAAGCCTCCAGGTTCAGGACTCAAACCACAGTCGGCCATGTGGGAGTCTAGCAAGCCATCTGCGGACCCCCGACAAAAATCTCTCTTTAAAAAATAAATAAAATAAACTAACAAAGAAAGAACTAAGATCTTTACAACTTGTGATGCTCTCCAATATTTTCTATTTTATTTTGTTTTCTTTCTTTCTTTCTTTCTTTCTTTCTTTCTTTCTTTCTTTCTTTCTTTCTCTCTCTCTCTCCTTTAAAAATATGCTGCTAGGCACGTGTGCTTGACAGAGAGACAGTCAGTCAGTCAGAGAGAGAAAATGAGAAATCACCCCCCAGAGGGATGGCCACACTCAATTCCTCCTCCACCATTCTCCTCTCAAGATTTTGAGCATGCACACACGTGCCCAGCATGTTTTTCAAGCTGCCACAACCTGGACTCGAACCATGCGGCTGGGTGTGTGGGCTCCAGCTGTAACACTCACTGAGAGGTTATTATAACCCAGTAGTGGGTCCTGAGCAGTTACCTGAAAAACGCTATTTCAAGGTAATGAACTTTGTTTCAAACCAACAAAATCTTCCCAGCTTAACAAGGTATCTCCTCGGATCTAGAATTCAGAGCACTTGATAGGATTTAGAAACACGGGGAAGACCCCCACCAGCAGCCTCCATTCCCCATTCCTGTGGTAGGTAAGCGGAAGCAGGGAAGGTGGGAGGTTCTCACCTTGAAATGGAAAGAGCTCGCCGGGGACCCACTGGAGTCAGGGTGCGCACTCTTCGTTAGGTTGCTGTAGTAGTTATTAACCTTGGCATTGGCATTCTGGTTGGATCTAGGGTCATCAGTGATGGGGCAGATGAAGTAACCTTCTTCGTCATCGCTATCTGTGTCACAGTCGACATCACAGCCAGCCCGGGAGGACTGGCTGCCATCAACGCCTTCCAGGCGGAAGATGAGGTCTTCGTCTGCCATGTTCCTGGGAAGTCCGTTTTACCCAAGGGGTAGGCGACGTAGCCAGGGGTACTGAGCAAACGCAGTAGCAAAGGTCCTGGAAGAGAAGGGAGAGTCAGAGAGTGGGTGCTGGGGCCAGAGGCCAATGGTTCCCCAGTCACCTCACCCCCCACATTACTGGCAATAACAAGGGCTGGTATTCTTGGGGCACCACCAAGAGCTAAGGGCTGGACGGTGGTGCAGGGATACACATGACACTCAGCAAGTCTGATCCACATGGGAAGGTTCTGGGTTCACGTCAGGGGACCTCCCTGAGCAGGCTGGGCATGCAAGTGTCCATGATCAGGGCTGGCTGAAGCTGGGGTGGATCATGGCACCAAGACCCCGTCGGGGTGCTGTCTCTTTCTTTTTGTCTTGCTCCCTCATAGAGGAAATAAAAAGATAAACTTTAAGTAAACAAAAACAAAAATAAAAACACACCTAGAGCTATCTTTCGGGGAGGAGTGGGAAGTACCCAGGAACATTTTAGAAGCCCAACTCATCAATCCAGTAATTCCACTTCCGAGAACTCAGCACTTGGAAATGTTGGAAAATGGTAGGGAAAAGAAATGCTTCTTAAGCAACTGGAGTGAGTTTTTTACAACATAAATTAGATCAAGTCTCTCCTCTCCTAACACCCTCCGGCCACATCCCTTCACGTTTATAACAAAACCCAAACAACTTCTTACGGCTACAAGGGCGGCGTTCACCTGGCCGGCTGCCTGCCTCTCCTCGGCCTGGGCTGCTCTCCAGGCCGTCCTGTCTGTGCACACGTCAAGCTCGTCCCCAGCACAGGGCCCATGGACATGTCCTCTGTGTCTGCAGTGGCCTGCCTCAAGTGGGTTCTTTCTCATCGTTCAGACTCCAACTCAAAGTCCCCTCTAGAGAAATCTTCCCTGAATCCCCAAATCCAAGATCCACGCTTGTCCCCGCGCAAGGCACATCAGTCACTGCCTGGCATGTCGCCCTTTAGTTTCTTCACGGTGAGTTTCCCAAGGTGAAATCATATTTGAATTAATTAATTAGTTAATATATTTATATTTTTTGTTTGCTTTTTGATTGTCCTTACACACAGCACCTCAAAGCGTGCCTGGCACAGAGAAGGAGCTCCATACGCGGTCCCAGAATGGATGAATACCCTCAGAGATTGTCAGAGTGTGCTCGCTGATCAGGAACAGTGAACAAAATAAAGGTAATAGTCACCACCGGCCACCAACGGAGGCTCTAAGCATACCTCAGAGTACTAACTGCTACACTGTGAAATATGCATGACCCGTTAGAAAGTCAGGGGAACCTCCAATACCCGATACCAGACAGGCAAAGATAGTCAAAAAAGACTTCTTCAAGATTGTAGAGTAGGGGGACCAGCAGTTAGCGTAATGGCTATGTCGCTGGACTCCCACGTAGTCGACCGCGGTTCATGTCCCGGACCCGGTGGCTTAAAACTCACGCCGGGCGCGTGTGCGTGCGTGCCCAAGATCCCGAGAGGAGAACGGAGGAGAAGGGATTGCAGCGTGACCATCCCCCCGGGGGGTGATTTCTCGCTTTCTGTCTCTATGTCTCTCTCTGTCTGTCTGGCGAGCGCACGCACCCTACAGTGAAAATCTCTCAAAAAA